TTTCAACCATGTAATTTGATTCTTCTTCTTCTTATCATTCTTTGGTGCACGACAATCCACGGCCTTATGCCCAGATTTTCCACAGTTGTGGCAGTTACCCTTGAACTTTTTCTTGCTTGGGTAATTCTTTGGTCCAGAAGCCTTCTTTCTTTCTTATTTTGTGGCGCCTCCGCAACAATGTTAGCCCTTATTATTGTCGAGTTTCCACGTGACTTCTTTTCAGCATTTTTGTTGTCTTCTTCTATCCTCGGACGAACAATCAAGTCTTCTAGTGTCATTTCCTTCCGCTTGTGTTTAAGATAGTTCTTAAAGTCCTTCCACAACGGAGGTAACTTCTCAATGAAAGCAGTGACTTCAAAGGCCTCATTTATGACCATACCTTCTGCAAGGAGGTCATGCACAATGACTTGTAATTCTTGGACTTGAGTTATGACCGACCTCGTGTCAATCATCTTGAAATCCAAAAACCTTGCAGCCACGAACTTCTTAAGTCCGGCATCCTCAGTCTTGTACTTTTTCTCAAGCGCATTCCATAACGCTTTTAAAGTTTCCATGACACTATAGACATTGTACAAGCTATCTTCCAAACAACTCAAAATGTAGTTTTTGCACAAGAAATCAGAATGTTTCCATGCTTCAGTTACAACAAATCGTTCGTCATCCGGAGTGCCTTCAGCCAGGACCGGAGGATCCTCCTTGATAAATCGCTGCAAACTCAACGTAGTAAGATAGAAGAGCATCTTCATTTGCCAACGTTTGAAGTCAATACAGGAAAACTTTCCGGGTTTTTCTGCTGGTGCCATAGCATGAGCAGGAGTTGAACGGCTTGACGAGGCAGCAACACTCGTAACAGTAGCACCCGTTCCCGCAACATTTGCATTAGTTTGGTTTTCATTCGTCATTTTTCTGTAGAGTTGGAAACAATCAGTGAAGTTTTGATATCTTCAAACTGAATACCAAACCAAACATACAACACGTAACAATGGTGAAGCTTTTATATACTTCAAACCCGTACGTTTATTATTCCGGTAAAGTTTTGATATATTTTAAACCAGATAGAACAATTATTGGAGTAGAAAGCACGAAGGCTTTAGTCTCCAAACCAGTATACAAAATATAAATAACATTTTAATATATATTTCAACACAGAAACGTTAGTATTAAAATTCCTTAAGCTTGTTGTTTGCTACTGTGTTAAAACACAAAATCAGAAAACTGTTAGAAGAATAAAAGAAACTGGAAAACAGCATAGAATAAGAAATATTCCGAGTCCACAATTTGCTTGTGCGTCCTTAAGGAATTTTAACCCCCTCACAAGTTGCCAAGGTAATGGATTAAATCCTCCCAGGATGAAACGGAATAAACCTTCCTGCAACAGTGGCAATACAAACTGCAGGATACCAACAAACTCAAAGAACGGAGCAAAATCACACTTACGAATTTGAGAGAGAGAGACTGCGAATTAGAATGCAGTATTTTCAGAAAGAAGGAAGTTCTGTAATGTTTTTGGTCTATTAAAAACGAAGTCATGCCTCAGAATTTATAGGCAATTATTGGAAGAGGTGTGATGTTTGTTCTGGAAAAGGTGTGTGTTCAGAAGTTTACGCGTCCTGCTGCGGTTATGCCAGGACCGCGGCCAAACTAGCCTTCTGAATCTGCAGCAGTGCCGAAGCCGAAGCCGAAGCCGAGCCGAGCGACGACGACAGTGCGAGGATTCATTCTCTTCAACTCCTTTTAAGAGCTTTAAGAAGTGATTCTATATATAAGCACACAGATGTAGTTGTCCCTCACCAATGAGGGACAAAGTGCAAGTCAAAAGCTCACTTTATTCAAATTTTCATTTCCCTCCATTTTATTTTCCACCATTTCCAATTCACACTCTTAGACTTTAAAGCCCAATGCTTAAAGTCTTTGAAGCCCAATGCCTTTAAGTCCAACAATGAATAATTGATTTAACAATATTATGGATACCTGTATCGCTAATGGATTCTTCGAATATAAACAATTGGTGTTATCCTTCGGATATTATGTAGTTAAAAGAATATAAACAATTGGTGCTTCCATTCATTAAACAATAAGAATGGAAAATTATGTAGTTAAAAAGGGATAATTTCAGCCCTTGTCACTTGGCTTAACAGCCCAACCGAAAATGTCCCACGTTTGAAGTCCTCACCTAGTTTTAGCCCAGGTTGTATATAATCTGAAATAACATTTTCAGACTTTAGCCACTATTACAAACACACTTTTAGGGTTTCTTTATTTTCATTTTTCCCCGGCACACTCTATACTCTCAGCCTCTCTTTGCTTTCTTCTTTCTTTCTCTTCTCTCACTCACTTAGATTTGAATATTTATAGAACTCAAATTTCTCTACTAAGTTGCTTAATCTTCATAAATTTTTATAGATCTCAAATATTTGAATCTCGATTTATGTGTGTCCAAATTTAAAATTGAAGTTTTGTTGCATCTAAATTCTAAACTCCATTGAAGGAGCTTGAAAATCTAACTTTAAAGTGACGACAGGTTCGTTCTGTTCAGGAAGTAAAGAGCAGTCCCTTAAGGCGTAGCTGATTCACCATGAGAGCTAAGTGGAAGAAGAAGCGTATGAGGAGGTTGAAGAGGAAGCGCCGGAAGATGAGGTAGAGATCTAAGTAAAAGCTTATTCCGCACGTCTCAGCATTCTTAGCTTTTGGTGTATCTTCTTTGCCTTAGGTTATTGCATCTTTTTGTTCCCTTTTTCAGAACTTTATAGTTAATTTCTGTAGTGTTTTTGTGCTAATGGCACCTAATGTACTTATGCTTTTGAGGTATATTGAAACTCTGATAGCCATTTTCGCTTTTCTTTAAAAAAAAAAAAACTCTAAATTATTGTAATGATAAGAATCTTGAGTGCTGGGTTAACTGTGTCTGATTAACATTGGTTTTGGGAACCATACTAGTTGAAGAAGGAAGGTCAAGATGAAATCCAGTTTTGTATACACCATTCTACATCATTATACAATATTATACAAAATTATAATGAGGGTATAATGTTATATAATATTGTATATTAGGTGTGAAAATACTTATACAACATTGATCTTTTTTTTTTAAGTAAGTTTCTCTTTCATGATAGTAATTTTAGTTTTGTTGCATGTTTTTTATTTCTAGTTTTTCCACAGTTCCTTTTTGCTTTTGTTTTGGTTACTTTTTATTTAGATTTTTCTTTTTGCTTTTACTTCGTATTCTCTATGTTTTCTATTAACACTGAGTTTGTTTTTTTTTCCAGCGAAATACTGGTATACATTATTCAACATTTCATATACAAGTTTATACAAACTTATACATCAATATACATTACTGTACAGATGAAGTTAAAACTGAAAAATAGAATTTTTGAATTTTTCTCACTTTTATCTACCAATTTATATATAAAGTTAATTTTTTCGTTGATTTCTCTACTAAATGATGAATTTTCAAAATTTTCTTTTCTTGTTGAGTTTTTTGTCAAATCATAAACTTTGGAGCAAATTCATCTATATAGAACTTGGAAAATAAGAGATTTTAGGTCTGTTTGTTGTATGTTTATAGCTGGGATAGGAATGTATAAACTTGGATAAGAAATAGAACAAAAATCCATGAAAAATTTGCGTCAGAATAAAAAGGGCATAAAGGTTTTTTTCGGATCTGAGCCAAATAATATTGGGCTATATATTTGTAAACTTAAATCTGGGTCATCCGGTTGCAAGGTTAACTTCTAAAGTGTATTATTACGTAATTTTATCTTAAAAGAAGTCTTAAAAAACCACCATTTAAATTTTTATTCATGCTAAATACACAAATACGGATAAATTAGTATGTAAACCATTAACTGTAGAGTTTTATTTATTTAATTAATAAATAGTACATTAACTTTGGAAACGGCAAGGCTTTGTTATATTTTAAAGTACATGAATTCAGTTATGGAAGCCATTATTAGCAAATTATTTGTATTGGTGCAACTTGAAAACTGGAATTGTTGTTGTGTTTTTCTTTATCATATGGAGAAGGGAAAATGGTTAAATTTGTTCATGCACTATTTGCAATTAGCACAATGTTAATTTTGTTAAATTTTGAGTCTAATATTATCTCGTCATTAGAAAAAAGTTTTATTTTTATCCTTGATTCTTAACGAAGCTCTATCCGAAGAACCATAATAAAAAATTGAATGGTAAATTTAAATAGACGGACACGTAAAGTCCATCCATTTCACATCAAAACTCGTTAATTACAAGGTCAAATTTGCCCCTTTCCTATAGAGGAATGACATTTCTGAGAGAAACACACTTTTATTAGTTTAGACATTTACGATAGTATAAATTTAGGGCCAGAGATAAAAAATGGTTGTATATTCTTTCTCAATCGTTTCCGTTCGCTAACAAAAAGATAATAGATGGAAGAAAATAAATTACTTCCTAACAGCACTTCACTACATGGAATATAAGGTCAGAGATTCAACCCCCCAAAAAAAAAGGTCAGAGAAAATGGAGACTATTTCTTCTTGCTATATTTTCCCCCTCTTATATCAACAAAAGTATGTTGATTGACTATGCTAAATCTCATTTCCTTCTTTCAATTTCTGCTTCATGTTTTAGAGTTAAAAATGAAATTGATGTCTTACATGAAAACTAATAAATGGCATTCTATTTATACAAAATTAAGATAAAAGTAATCTTTTTGTTCTATTTTAAGTGTCGCTTTAATTACTAATTTTTTCTTCAAATTAATTATAATTTTAAAAAGTCAAGACTAATTTTAACGATAACTTTAATATTAAATAAGTACTAATATTTTTTTTAATAATACTCTATTGTCAAAATAAAGATAACTTAATAAATTAAACTTTATACTACTTATTATTTTCTTAATGGCGAAACGGGACGGAGAGAGTAATGAATATGCCAAAAACACTGGCAGATACGACAAGATATCGTGAGGACTAGTTGACGATAAATAAAAAGGAAATTGCCGAATCAACAAAACAGAAGGAAAGAGAAATAAAGCGACAGAGAGGGAGACAGAGAGGTTCAAATAGTATTGAGCCGACATGCATTCATTTGCCAAAATATACATACATGCTTTCTTCGCACTCACCATCTCAGGCTTATCTTTTTCTCCTCATCAAACTCTTAGCTAGTTTTTAGAAAAACCCAAAACTAAACAAGGAAAATTCAAGAAGAAGAGTTCAGCAGTACATGATATGGATCCTTGCCCGTTTGTTCGTTTGATAATTGAGTCATTAGCTCTTAAACTTCCATCAGTAACTAAACCTCCTGGTTCTGGTTCTGGAGTTCACCCTTGTTCAACTCCTTGCTATGCTAAACTCAAGCTCAAGAATTTCCTTTCTCAAACTGCCATTCTCCCTCTCTGTTCCATTTCTCAAGATCCTTCTTCTCCGCCGGAGTCTTCCGCCTCCGCCGCCGGGTTCCACCTAGACGCCGTTACTCTCCGGCGTCTCTCTGGAAAGCCTGTTACGTTAAAAGTGTCCGTTTTCACGGGGCGCATGGGTCGCACGTGCGGTGTTACCAGTGGGAAGCTGCTGGGATCGGTTCAGGTGAGCGTTAACTTGAACGGGACGCATTCGAAGTCCAGCGTGTTTCAGAATGGGTGGATGAAATTGGGAAGCGAACCGGCGGTGGCTATGTTGCACATGGCGGTTCGTGCTGAACCGGACCCGCGGTTCGTGTTCCAGTTCGGAGGTGAACCGGAATGCAGTCCGGTGGTTTTCCAGATCCAGGGGAATATAAGGCAGCCGGTTTTCAGCTGCAAGTTCAGTGCTGATCGCAACAACCGGACACGGTGAGTCCCTCCCCATTGTTTTCCCCGCGCATTTTACCTTTCCCTTTCCTATGGAAATTGCTAACTTGCGCCCACGTTATTTTCAAGGGGGTGGTCTTTTTACCCCAAAACATTTCGAAATTTACCTTTTTCATTTACTTTTTGCTATGGTTTATTTTATGGCGTCTTTGTTGTGAACAAAAATAATTGTGTCGCTTCTTTTTACTGTAGTTGTTAATTTGTTATGAGAGAAGCATGTTTTGTGGTCAAACTAAATTGCTTTCTTGAAACGATTAATCAATTGGGGTGGGGGCAGTAAATCTTGCATAATTGAGATTCTACAGCTCACCCTCTAAAACTAGTCAATATTACTAAACAAAACCATTTTGTCATAAAGTGTTTAGAAATAGATTTGCAAAGACAGAGCATTTAATTAGGGAGATGATGATCAAATTAGTTGAAAGGATTATATCCTCGCAAACGCGCGCTTATTACTAATAAAAGGAAAAAATAGAATAAAAAATTATTGGTTGGAACTCAAAGGGAAAGTTTCTAGTGATGAGAATTGTACTGTTACGTAGCTTTAATTGGCGGTTTAGGGATTAGGTAGCCTCCTCACATGATTCGACTAGATGTCTATGTGAAAAGTTGCTTCTCCAGAAGCTGAAGTATTTCTCACTCTCTGAAGAGTCACATGCATGTTGTGTGAATAGCTGCACATGCTTTGAGTACAATCTCTAAGCTATGGAACTTTCTTTTTTGCTTACGTGATCATCATGCTACTGCTCTTTTCTCATTTTTTTTCTCGTGCTTGAGGTCGAGTGAAAATAACCTCTCTATGTTCACTATAGGGGTAAGGTCTGCTTACTATCGACCCTTGCCAGACTCCACTTGTGGAACTATACTGGGTTTTTTGTTATTGTTACGTGATCATCATCTTTCCCTGGGATATGACTATAGAATGCTTTACATTGTTTGAATTTTGTATTCTTTCTTCTGCAATTTGCAATTGGGAATTCATACAATAATGTTCCCATAGCGGATATGAATGAATGAGATAGTGTCTTTAGGATTCTTGTTTGCTAGATCTACCCACTGCGACTTCTAATTGGTTATATATCCTATAGTTCTCATGAGCTGTTTTGTACAATTGTCATCTGCACAATTCATTATTCTACTTGCTTACGTCCTTTTCAATCATAGTTGATCTGATTCTCTGAAGGCGAACAATTCAGCAGTGCATTTTGTGTCCATGGCATGTGAAGAGGAAAAATGACAAAAAATACAGCTTGTTTCAAAGGATCCTGTATCCTGACCTCTTTACAATTTGATCCTCCTACGTTGTAGCATGTTGTATCCAACAAATTAACTTCTTAATGAAGGTTTAGATTCGTCTAGTAATGAAAAAGATTAGAGAATAAGTTAGGTCAAGAACAGACAACATTAAATCCTATGCTCAACTGTCATTAGCAACTACCATTGATTCCCTCCCCATGTGCACAGATTTGGGCAAGACCTGCATAAAGTGGTTAATATTCTTCTTTGACTTTTCGTTTCCTTCCAATCAACTATATTACCAGTCAAAGTATGAAGTAGAATATTGTTCAAGTTATTAATTTTGTTTGTATGCGGTCCTGAAGCTAATATTTCTTCTCTTCTTTTTATTTTTGTAAAAACAGATCTCTTCCAACTGATTTTAACTTAGGCAATAGAGGATGGATGAGAACATTTTCTGCTGAAAGAGACAGACCAGGGAGGGAGCGAAAAGGGTGGATGATAATTATCTATGATCTTTCAGGGTCAGCTGTTGCAGCTGCCTCAGTGATCACTCCATTTGTGCCATCTCCAGGTTCTGACCGTGTTTCACGATCAAATCCTGGTGCATGGCTTATCCTCCGGCCTAATGGATCCTGTGTTAGCAGCTGGAAACCATGGGGTCGTCTTGAGGCTTGGCGCGAAAGAGGGCCAGTTGATGGACTTGGTTACAAATTTGAGCTTGTTACTGATATTGGTCTTACTAGTGGTGTACCTATAGCTGAAGGCACAATGAGTATGAAAAAAGGTGGGCAATTTTGCATAGACAACACAATAAAAGACTCTGCACTGAGTTCATTGTCGCCTATTCGAGGATTTGTGATGGGATCTAGCGTGGAAGGCGAAGGCAAACCAAGTACTCCAACAGTTCAAGTTGGGGTACGACATGTAACTTGCATGGCCGATGCTGCCCTATTTATCGCGCTTTCAGCTGCCATTGATCTTAGCATGGACGCGTGTCGGCTTTTCTCTCAAAAACTTGGAAAGGAATTTTGCAATAATGATCAAGAGTCATTCTCATAAATGGAAAAGCTTTTAACCCTGCAGTTTTTGTTCACTCACATGCAGTAATGACCAAAGAATGGCAGCTGGTTTGAGCATGGAAGAAACTCCTTTACCTCCCCATGTTTTATATATTTTTTAATTAATTGTGGAAAAAAACATGACTTTTTCTATACCCGATTAGAGTGTGAGCTTTGAGTGGCCTGTGAGCTGTAGGTATATTTTCCCTATTTGGAAAGCAACACTTTGTGCTGGCTCTAATTCCATTTTGTCCCATTTCTGCAGAGGTGAGCATTATATATTTTTTTTCAAAGTATTTATTAACAATGTACAGACTAGGAATGAGTGATTTATTTATTAAGATTATTTCATTTTTTTTCTTTCCATTCTTTGATTGCTCCCGAGCGGGTTGCGCTCCCTTCAAATTTGTGTCCTTTCACATTCATTTTTGTTTCAGAGCATGCTGTTTGTTCCTTAAATCCTAATGCAAGTATTCATTGTAAGCGGAGATTAGACACAATATACAGAGAATACAATCTTGAGTTAGGTTAAATTAATGTATCATTCAACTTTTGAATCAGCAGTAACTATAGGCGGTTAAGCCTTAGACCAATTTCGACAATCCATTGGGTATCAAGCTCAAACAACATAGAAAACAAAGCTGATGAGATGTGAACTGTTGTCACCACGCTTTCAAAGAACATATAATATGCTAGGGATATTCGGGATTTGGATAGAGTGTCTACTCGTCACAAGCTATTAGTTACTAGGCATCATTTATCCATACACAATAAATATTGATCATACCTTTTGTTTTACCCGTCAATGCCTTTTGTTGCGTGCTTCGCTTTTGGTAAAATGACTTAGCTTCACGTAGGAGAGCTCAAAATGACAAATCCTTTGAACTGTTAGAAATTAGACTTCAAGAATTACAATATTTGTTTAGAAATCATGACCAAATTCTTTGTAAATCAAGAGTGATACTCCATTGAAGTTCGATCATGTGTTAGTAGAAATAATTGCTCCCAACCCTAATTCCCAAACATCTCTTGCTTTTAAGCATTAACTATGACCATTTTGTTTCTTTAAGTTCCATTCCCACATTGTCCCTAACTCCATTTTTAATCCTCCAAATAGCTCCTTCGCTCTATTTTGGCCTCCAATGTACCTATATCAATTATCTCACAACTTAGGCAAAATTCTTCGAATAAAAGCTCAAACAAGGCAATTAATCATAGAAAAAAAAATCATAAAATATATAATAACAATTCAAGTTATCATTTTTGCACATATTATTATGAGTATCTATTGCACTTTCAAAATTAGTTTAGGGACTAATTTTATTAACTCTCCAAATCTGAAATTAGAGGTGCATTATAGAAGGCGGAAAGAATGGGACAGCTTTAGATTTGATTGGGCTAATCCGGTCTCTCCTTCCATAGCCTGATCCTGAGGCTCTGAGACCCCAGCGAAGCAGATTCCAGATTCTGCTACCCTATCATGGCGTACGCTCAAAACTTTTTGGTAGCTGTTTTCATCTCCTTCACCTTCGTCTCCACCTCATTCTCTCAGTCTATTCTCGGAATCACCCCCGAAATCTTAGAACTTTTAACCATCAATCGCCACCGTAAGATTCCCAAAGACAATAACAATGCTTTGTTCTGTGAGAGCTGGCGGTTTACAGTGGAGACTAATGACGCTGGTTTCTGGGCTTTGATTCCCGAAAGGTGCGCTTCTTTCGTCCAGGACTACATGAACGGCGATCGTTACTCTTCAGATTGCGGTGCGGTGGCTGACCTGTCGCTGGCATTTGCCAATACGGTTAAGGTTTCAAACGATGGAAAGGACGCTTGGGTCTTCGACATTGATGAAACTTTGCTCTCCAACTTGCCCTACTATGTCACCCATGGCTTCGGGTAACTCCTCTCTCTCTCTCTCTCTCTCTCTCTCTCTCTCTCTCTCTCTCTCTCTCTATCGATCGAACGATCGAAATGATTGTTACTTCCCTTTTAATTTGCTGAATTT